AAAATAATGATACGCTAGTTGCTTTAGGCGCGCCTTTAACAATTTACTTTCTTAAACTCGGGTGCACATTTATGTGACCCAAATCCAAATCACGACAAAGTCGAAATGTGTCGATAATCACGGGTACATTGATGTGACGTGGTTCGAGATACGTTTTTCACAATGTTGTAATTCTCTGTTAAAATAATATAANCGGAACTCGGAAATGCCTAACACCTTCTCCCGGGTTAACAGAATTCCTTATCCGGATTTCTGGTGCGCAGACTGTTAAATAAAGTCATTCTTTTCCTCGATTCGGGATTCAACCGGTGACTTGGGACACCATAAATCTCTCAAGTGGCGACTCTGAAATAAATAAATAAATCTCGTTTCGATTGTCCTTTAATTGGAAAAACTCCCTTCCGCGCCCCTTAGCGGGGGCGCGGGCGAAAAAGGAGGTGTGACAATAATGTGATAGCGAGAATGCCTCTATGGAGATATTGAAAAGGCCATTCTACGAAAGTTTATGAAGACACTACATCTCTATCAAGAATGATGATTTAAAGATGCAATATATTCATTCAAGTTAATATGGTTGATTCGTTTATCAAGTCTCTACCAAAGATCGTTTTGAAGATGGTGCACAAGATTGGAATGCAAATGCTTAAAGATGTGACTTGTTGCTCTCATCAGGGGGAGTTAATGTGCGTTGCACTCTTTTTCCCTTACAAGGTTTTGTCCCACTGGGTTTTCCTTGCAAGGTTTTTAACGAGGCAACCAAAAGGCATATTATTAGATATGTGTACTATTTTCCTTCTCTAGAATTTTTTTCCCGCTGGATTTTATTTTAATTAAGGTTTTAACGAGGCACATTATCTATTGAATAGACATTCAAGGGGGAGTGTTATAAATAGAATTTTATTTATGGTGAATGTCCATATTTAGAGAGATTCTAGGGTTTATTATTTGGTGGTTAAATCACTCTCTCCCTATAAACAGAGGGTTCTATTCCATTGTAATTCATCCCAAAATTCAATAAGAATTCTCTCTCCCTACTTTTCTCTGCAATACTACTCTTCTTCTTTTATTATTTCATAACAGCTTGCTATTTCAGTTTATTAATCATTCTTAATAGTAGTAAACTCTACTTCAAATGTATTATCACACTTAATTTACGAATGATGTTGATATATGGCCTCTTTTATTATTTTAATGGCTTTGTCACAAGAACAATCTTACTATTACGACTCATACTTGTCACTAATTTTATATTTATATCATAATCAAAGAAAATCATTAAATAAGGTAAAATGTAAGGTAATTTAAAGTTTTAAATAGTAGGATTTGTACATAGTTCAAGTAAGGAAAGATCTAATAAATAAAATATTGTTCATTTAAAAGTCCTACTATTTAAAATTTTAAAATAAAAAACTATTCAATTTATATAAATCTGTTTCTTATTTAAACCATATATAACATAACTATAATTCCTTTCATGTTCCTTTCTAATATTGATGAAAAAGTTTAAAATAATTAAGAATTTGATTATTTTCAGTTAAATAATCCAAGAGAAATTAGTCATTTGATGAAGAAAATGTAACTGATTTGAGAAGTATTGATCGATTAAAATGTCTATTTTAGCAATTCTACTCACTGGTGTACATACAGTGATACTATTATTTAGAGACGAAGAATTTAACCACGTGCTCATTCAAGTTGATTCAAATCTTCTTGTGTCATTGGAAATGTTTTCCAATGTATTTACCTACATTTGTAATTTTGATTTGTTATTCACATTCGTACCCAAAAAATTTTAAAATATTTTATGTTGCGGAAGAAAATTCATAAACGTCTACAAAGAAGATATAAAATATAAGGATGGAAGTACTATATGCGTCTGATATTTAATTTGAGTATGATTCGTCAAAGTATTGTCAACACAATGGAAAGAAATATTATATTTATGCGACATAGTTCAAATAAGAACATATTTTCTATTGATGAATTTTAAAATTATATATATTATATTTGATACATAATTCTAATAATGAAAAAATTAATAATTAAAATCCAGTTGATTTCAAAGTCCTAATTATTAGAAAATTATTTTACTTGATTTCATTCCAAATCGTTAGTAAGTATTCAAATGAAGAGATTATCTAACATTGTTCAGTAATAATCTCAAATGATACTTTTTAAGACTTTAAAATCAACTAAAATTTGCTTGCTTGAAATACTCAATAGAGCTCTTAATGCTTGCCACGTGCATAAATAAAATTTAAAGGCTAGAGCCTTTCGCTCAAGCTTTCATTTAATTTTTTTCTCAGTTTTTTCTTGAATTTTTCTACATCACGATATCGATTATAAATATTTTAATAATTAGATTTGCTTGTTCAAAATACATAACATATATAAAAATTCAAAAATCATAATTTAAAGGCATAAGGAGTCAAACCGGTTTATACGATATGCAAGTTTCTATGATATTCTATTGTAAAATATTTTTCTAAAAGACTTGTGTGATTTTATTAAACTAGTCTTAGGGTACGCGCGTTGCGCGTGTACCCTATCTCAATAAATATAAATTTTCTTAAAATATTACATACATATTATATTATAAATTGTGTTTCACAAAAATTTCAAACTTGAAAAGGTAGATGAAAATCAAAAGCTTATATATATGAAAGAAATATTTTTCCCTATTTGCACATTAATTTTTCAAAATTTTCATTCATTTGAGTGTTACTCGGCCACTAAATACCAAACCACATAAAAAAAAACGAAAAATATAAGCAATTAAAAATAGAAGGGACAAAAGTATTCAAGAAAAATTAAGTCACATTAGAAGGAGATGCCTGCAAAAGAAGCATGAAGAAGCTTTATAAGTTCTTGTAAAAGTTAATAGAGTAGAAAAATACACGAGCAAAAATTTAGAATCCTCCTTTTAGAAATTTATTCATTATGAGATTCTCTTTGGGAAAATAATACGTTATATAGTTGCTTTACACAATTTAAATAAGGAAGCAAAATATAATTAAAATCTTACTCCATTTAAATTCCTAAATATGAGGAGTTCTTGCAAGATTCAAATAAGTAAAAATTTAATAACCAAACTTTTAGCTGATTTAAAAGTTCTAAATATTTAAAAGTTCACAAAAGAAAAAGAAAATTGCTTTGAAAAATAAAATTTACATTTGTCAAAGAAATAGAATTATAACTAAATTGCTTTAAACTGCCGTAAACCAAGTCCCTAAGCTAAATATTCAATAGTATTGTTCTATAATATATAAATGGTTATTAACTTTGCTTGATGGTCTTGGAGGTAATTATAAATGCATAATGCCCTTCAAAGCATCTAAGATTTGCATTTTTAAGTTTCTTTATCATATTTATGTTTTACGCTAACTACTCTTCAAATATACACAACATTAAGGGTCTTAGGGGGGAAAAAATATTTTTATGTGGTAAACCCTTAATTTAAATAAAAATTGATTCACAAATTTATAGTGACAATCATATCTCAATTTAATACGTCCATACACACAAGGAAAAGAGTTCAAATATAATTAAAGAAAAATAATTCTAGTTCAAATAAGGAAAGATTTAATAAGTACTGAAATTTTAGTTGATTTCAAAGTACTAAATTTTAGGAAAAAAATTAAATGATAACATTAAAAACTCAAAGTGCTAACTATTAGGAAAATATTAAATGCATATTCCTACATATTAGAAAATTAATTAAATGACTATTTTATCTAGTGTGAACTCTACTTTTAAAGGGTAAAAAAGGCGAAGGACATTTCGCTAAGGGCCTTCGTGCTTTTAATATAGTATAGATAGNTGATCGATATCAACAGACACTATGCTTCTTCAGTAGAACTTGGTAGTGGTAGAGAAAGTAATTGAGCTCTACATCCCAAAGGAAGAATAGTTGCTCTACCACTGGATGTACGTTCGATTCCTGGATATAGTTCCCCTTTGGTCCGCTTGCTTTGTGATGTGAGACGACTTACTAATAGTTCCAATGCTTCTTTCATCCATCCGTTTTGACACAGCCTTCTTGCTTCGCATACATTCATCTGTAATTGGTTTTTCGACAGGCTAAACATCAGTAAATGCGAAGACGTGCTTTTATATTTCATAAGGAAACTATGTATTCTGGTCTAAGAGAGGTACCATGAGGTGACATGACACCTCCCTCAGACTAGAATATATATATATATGTATATATATAAAGAATGGATTGTTGCATACCCAAGTTCTTTCGCGAATCTCTTTCTCAGGCCAAGAGTCTAGTTGTTCTGTTACAAACAAAGGAAACATGTGTCCTTCATAGGCAGTGTCACCGGATTTGTTCTCGAAATACCATGTTCCCAGTTTACACTGCAGAAGTAAAGTTAAAACCACTTATCAGCAATGGAAACATATATGTTATCGCTATATCAAGATCAATGCCAACGAAACAGCAGACGTTATCGCATATTTCTAATCCAAAATGATCAGAACATCACATGTAATCATCAATCATTGCAATCAGGCGCTTAATATTTTGCAAGAATTTTGGAAGATCATAAGGTCCTTAACTCTACCACAGCTAGTATTCTGTCATTTATCTGATGCAATAGAACAAGTTAACACAAAAACTTTATGTTTCTTATTTTTCACCTTTTCACTTCAAAAGAAACATAAAAGGAACGGAAAGAGATCACGAGGGAGAACAAACCTCAACTTCACCTCGTACTCCAGCTTCCTCGACAGTCTCACGTTGTGCAGCATCTTCGATTGTTTCATCTTTTTCCCAACCTCCCTACGATAACAACAGACGTATTTGCATTTAGAACAGAGATTTTGCCTAATATAACAATCACAGAGAGTATCAAAATGAACTATATTTTACGAGTAAGTTTTGCAGCTATGTATCAGTATCTACCTTTGGAAATAACAACCCTTTCCCTTTTCTTTGCGGACTTATGAGAAGAACTTCGAACGCATCTTCATCTACCATTGATAGCTCGGTGAAATCTTTATATCGGTAAGGTATACATCTGAAGAAAAGACATGATCGCGGAAACAAATATAGTTAATAATTTTAACACAAAAAGGATATGTATCTTTCCACATGAGAATAAACCAACAAAGTCAAATCCACGTGATACAAGTAACATCTAGGCATAATCTTCAGAGTTTCAGACAATCAAGAATCTGCAACAGCTAATGTTAAATAATGTCCAAGTTCAGCAATAGGCTTTCACTGTTAGAATCTAGAAAAGAGTATCACATTAAGTCTTAATTAATCTTTAATTAAGCATTTAAAGTAGGAAAATCAGCAGCAGAATGTCCTTTTTCCAGAGAAAAAAAACAAGACATGTGATGAGTTGAAAACACTTTGCCTAACACCACATGACTTTCTGATTTTCTCCAATAATAAAAAGGGAAGTCCGGTGCACAAAGCATCCCACATTCACTCTGGGATAGCCCGGTGCACTATGCTCTCGCTATGCGTGGGATCCGGGGAAGGGCCGGACCACAAGGGTCTATTGTACGCAGCCTTACCCTGCATTTCTGCAAGAGCCTGTTTCCACGGCTCGAACCTGTGACCTCATGGTCACATGACAGCAACTTTACCAGTTACGCCAAGGCTCCCTTTTATATAATTTGCATTGATGCACCTAAAATAAAAGAAAGTGTCAACTGGCTCTAAATTATTATACCGTGTCCAAATTGAAACAGCTTATGCAAACTGATTTCTACGAACACATAAAAAAAAAAAATTAAAAAAACCTTGGTAAAATTGAAAGGACAGATTGCATCCCAAAAGATCAAATCTTTTATACCTAATTTCTGTAAAATCAACACATTTCTACAAACAAAATGAAATAACAAACACCCTTCAGGATGATATAACACTCAAATTCATATACACCTCAAAAAGCCAATTCAAAGACCAATTGACAGTATTTTGTTTTTTCCCTAAAAGTCAACTCTCCACAATAAATAAATTTTAGGGGGAAAAAATCATGGTTAGCATTATTATTCAAAGAAGATTGTTCTAACCCAGAAATCTTCATAACCAAAAAAAAAAAATATCACAACTTAATAATTGACATAAAATGCAAGGGGCAATGAAGGGGTTTGGGTTGGGGGGAGGGGGGAAGTTGCAGGTCTTAGGAGGCACATGACATGACCAGAGGGATCGATCAACTGAACTCAATATTTTCGACACAAATATAGTTATGTGTAAAAAACTATAAAATTTCAACGAACATTATATTTTGAACCCATAATAGCAAAAGTATAACGAGTTCATCAAATTTAAATCTTGAATTTGCCTCTGTTAACGTACCCAACAACTTGGCGACGACCCTTGTTGTAACGTTGCAAATGCCGGCCGGAGCGTGATACAAGAACCACCATCTCCTTCAATTCCATTAATTCTTGCTTAAAAATGGAGTCTTTTTACTTCTTTCTGAACCAAAAAAACAAGAAATGGAGGAGAAAAAAGAATAAAACAAATGGACCCTTTTTGAAACCAAAGAAAATTAAGCAAATTACTAGGCTTAAAACATCAAAAACAGGGGGAAAGAAAACAAAGAAAAGGAATTTGAGATTTTTTTTTCCTTTTTTGTCTGTAGAAATGATTGGTTTTTGTTTGGTGGTTGAAAAACCGTTAACGATATGAATGAATGGCAAACTTCTTCAAAATGCTGGATTTTAACTGGTGCATTTTGGAGGCGGCACATGTGTGTGTCTTGATTGGCACGTGTGACCGGTTCATTCTAATGATCCGGTTTTGTTAACTTATACCGGTTTAATTATCGATGATTGAATTACTAAGGCCCACGCTCGTGGTATGGAGCGTGACTTTTTGAAATGAAATCTAAGTAAACCCCCTAATCAAGTGAACGTAAAGACCACGATGAAAAAAAAGAAAATTGTTTAAAATTTATTTCGATATTGTTCGAAATTTTAGGGTAGGGGTAAGATCTACGTACACATTACTCTTCTCAGACCCCACTTGTGAGATGTTGTTGTTGTTAATGTTCGAAATTGAGCAATTTTGTCCATTATTTCCACTGAACGATCTAGAAGATTGATCTCGAGTTTACTTGAAGTCAATAAGTTTTACTCAAATCTGTAATATAAATTAATAAATTTATTATTTTTTGTGATCTACTTTAATTGATTTTTTAACATTTTTTTGTAGCCTATAATATTTGACTTTTTCATCGAGAAAGAATTAATTTCCTTTTTTCAAAATTAATATTAGAGTAAAGAGTCTCAGAGTATCTGTTATATTTTTAATATACAGATTAAAGGTTAATATGGTTAATTTTATTGTTAATACTATTAAAAGGTGAATCTCTTAATATGTATGAAAACAACCAAAAAATCAACTAAAGTGGATCAGAGAAAGTAAATATCTATAAATATTTGACTGAAAACTCAATTATTGCTATAGTATTAACTTGAGCTAGTTGCTCTTTCCGCTCATTCATACTTTTGCCATAATTAAATCTTTTCGTATTTGATCTTACCATTTATGGAATTTCAACATGAAATAAATAGATTTTACGTGTCCAAATATTTTGAGTAAAAAATTCTAAGTTAACTCCTCAACTTTTCAATGCGAGTTTAAATTACGTTCAAATTGGATCTTCTTAACATAAGGAAGCTTCTATTATGTACTCTCTGCGGTCTAAAATAAGTAGTTTTTTTTGTTGTTTTTATACATAATAAGAAATTCACCTTTTAACATTAATTAGTAATTAAATTGACCATATTAACCTTTATTATCTCTTCACATAAACACTCCTAATACATACTCCAATATTAATTACTCCAAGGCAATGTAGGAAAAAAATAATTAATTCATTCTTGAAATCTGAAAAAATCATTTATTTTGGACCACAAGAAAAAAGCCAAAAAATCATTTATTTTGGATCGGAGGGAGTAGTGATTAAGGTGGTTTGGAATTTTACTATTAGATCATAAATTTAAATTGATTGTGATATTTTTACATCTAATTTTGCTTTTTACGAGAATGATAAAATAATATTTTGTTGCACCTTAAAGCATTTACTTTAAGAGGATAGATAAGATTATCGTTTTGGCAAATTATTTATTCCCCCTCCTTCACAATTCCCACAGTTTTCTTGGATAATATAGATATACTAAGGTCATAAAAAGTCATGTATATTCTTATATAATATAATTACATTTTTGTATTGTTTCATGATATACCAAGTTTTTATACATGTTAGTCTGTCACTATTGAAAAAGCAGTATAAAAGGTAATTAATGGGGTGATTGAGATCCCACAATTTTTAATAATAGTTGGATTTTCGTGAGAATAAAGAATTTATTGATATGTAATGATTTTCTTTTTTATTGAGCTTATCTGACATGAATTATGAATTATTAATGGTATTGTAAATTAAAAGAAATTATAAGAATTATCTGGAGAAGTTTCTATGTCAAATTAAAGTAGATGGGTCCTCTAGACTAGTGGGAAAATTAGAAAGAAACGTTAGAAAATTATTTTAATTAAAAAAAAACATGTTAAGAAAATTGGAACATAGTGAACATTAGTAAACAAATACGTATTAAATTACTAATGTCAAGTGCATGACATCATTGTTTTGTGTCATTATCTAAGAACGTCAATAAACTTTTCTAGATATATCATACTTATCTCACTCTCCAGAAAACTATAAAATGTAAAAGTCTATTTTCGTTAATAAACTAATTTAGATAGGACAAAACTTTTTTTTTTAAAAAAAAAGAAATATTTAAAATGAAAATTTTGAAGGAAAAAAAGAGAGTATGAAAGCTAGGTTTTAGTTTAACACTTATTTTAGGATGGACAACAATCATTAACGTAACCGAGTTATATTTTAACGCTCATTATAATATGGACAACAATTGTAACCTAATTTTTTTTCACTAATTAAAAAATGCTTTAATGATTAATAGAATATTCTTAATAATAATTAGATTTGGTTTGAAAATTTCAGAGAGACCGAATAAAGACACGCAGCCGAATCTAAATGTTTAGCAACCGAATAACCACGTTATTACTTATTACAAAATCATTAAACAAAAAATAATAAGTGTGAACTTGAAATTTAAGGATGTTTTAAATTTTCAATAATGTAAACCATGTTCCTTTTAATCACTTTATATTAATGCATGCAATATGATTATCTAGATTCTCTGTTTTAGGAATTTCAACCATGTGTTTATCTAGAAATAGTAATAGTGTATACAAGAAATAAGGGTGGTTGTGGAGCGGTGGACTCCTTCATTTTTAACCACATGTCTCCGACTAAAGCTTTGGGTATAGGACTTCTTGGCACGAATTACAATTTAATCAGGCCCTAATACGAGCTTGGACACAAATGAAAAAACCAAAAAAAGGTGTGTTTGAAAAAGATTTATAATGTGAAACCTTTCGGTACGAATGTAAATTTAGTCACACCCTAAAACAGGTGTTGAACACAAGGTGTGAAAACCAAAAAAAAAAAGGTGTATATGAAAAAAGATTCATAAAACTTAATTAGAAAAAATGCGTTATCGTGTAAGGTTGTATGAACTTTGAATATAAGGCTCGATAAATGACGGCAGTAACTCTTACTGTCCATAGTTGTATTTTAGTGGGTGGATCTGATATGAGAAGTTATAGGAAAGAGTATATTACAACAGTTTTAATTTGTGAATTTATATTATCGTGTGTTCTACATGCTAGATATTCTACCATTCTATATTTTTTGTCGAAAGTGTGTCTCTATGTTGTGCGGAGCTGAGTTAGTAGCTCAATATCGTGAACTGAATAGAAAAGGGTATTTGATCTCTCTTTTATGGATGTTTCCTTTTGTTAGGACAGTAAAAATCAGGTGTCATACGGAAGCTAGCAAAGCAAACCTTGAGCGACGATAAATCATACAACAAAGGAGAAATATACCAAAAGAGACACAAATATTTAACGTGGTTCGGTCAACTGACCTACGTCCACGTGCGGAGATGAGCAATCCACTATATAAAAAGAGAGTACAAAATATCGAGAGAACAACCTCACGAAGAGGCAAATACAAGTGACACATTAACACTTGTCCCGTAAAGTTCTCCCCCTAAACACTACTCTCAAGCCCCTATGGCTACATTGTAGATGCTACTGAATAAGAAGGACGGATCTTCAATTTATAGAACTTCAAACATTTTCCTACAAGAAAAAGGGCTAGCCAAATATAGGAGAATTATAATTTCCTTCTACAAAAAGGAAAACCCAATTAAGGTAATTATATTGCTCTTTCCTTCAACAAATAGGAAAATCAAATATGGTAAGAAAATTATGGCAAACACCTAACAATTCTCCCCCTTGGCCGGATTTTTCTGACAAAATAAACTTGATCCACCTTCTTCACATAGCCTTCAACAGGTTGCATCTCCAAATCTCCAACACAAAGTTTGTCTCAACGTGCGTAGCACACTGGTCAAATTCTCAGACAAAAATCACGATTATCGTCAAATATGTTGCGGCTAGAACTAAACCTGCCAAGATGAACCTGTCTTGAACCTCACTCTGATACCACTATGATGAAGCCATGCAAGATACTCACAAAGATCAGTGGATCGAAGCGATGGAAGATGAGATGAAGTCACTCCATGAGAATGACACATATGAGTTAGTGAAATTGCCGAAAGGTAAGAGAGCTTTATCTAACAAACGGATATTCAGAATAAAGCAAGATAATCATACCTCTGCGCCTAGATACAAGGCGAGGTTAGTTGCTAAAGGTTTTGGCCAGAAGAAGGGACTTGACTTTGATGAAATTTTCTCCCCTGTTGTGAAGATGTCTTCTATTCGTATGGTTCTAGGCTTAGCTACAAGTCTAGATTTAGAGGTTGAGCAGATGGATGTCAAGACTGCTTTTCTCCATGGTGATTTAG